TGTACAAAATTACAAAGATTAGAATGAAATTCAAAATAAATTATAGAAAAATTATATCATTAATTCTATAGTTTAAATGAAATATTATTCTAATTTTTATAATTTTAAGGAAAATTAAAGTGCTGTTTCACTTAAATTACAGGAGTAATAGTATCATTTGCCAACCAGCAACTTGTACTTGTACCCCAATTCACCCCTCATTCATTGGGAGCCTACCAAGCCATGTCGCTTCGGGTCAGCAAAGGGCTATTTTGTGTGACTCACTTTAAACCCATCAACATGATATGCACTTTTCATTATGTAATAACTTTTTAATATATAAGGATGGTTTAGAATGATCTAAATAAGTATATTTTTTATTTTTTTTATAAAAGATATGTAGAAATGTAAAGAGGTGATACGACTTAAAAACAATAAAATGATAAAAAAAAAAGTGTGTTACAATAGGTCATGCCAAACAAATTCATAATTTATAAACATAATTAAGTTGATGAGATGTATTGATAGTTATAAAATAATTAGGTTGATAAGATATATTGATAGTTATACGATTAGAGATCACATTTATATTAAAAACAAAATGATTTTGAAAAATAATTCATTTTGAAAATAAAATAAAATTTTATTCAATCATCATGTGGTAATCAATGTTCGATCAATTGATTTTTACATAAATAATATGCTTGACAAATAATAGAAAACGAACAATTTAGATAATCTTAATAGGTTTGGAGTCAGACCTAGTAAGAGTCATAGCAACCCCTGTTCTGTACAAAACATAACGGACACCCGATTTCTCATTCAACGGCATGAGATTATGAGTCTCTAAAAAAGTGTTTCTCCAATCATCTCTTCTTATCCATGTTAGTGACCAAAGGCACTTTTTACTCCCAGAAGGGTATCTATATCTCCCACTATATACAGTATTAAAATATCATCACAGTGGAAAAACATCTTCCCTCTCAATGCTCTATATTCTCAAACTGAGAAACATTCAACAAACTCATTCATTTTGGCCTCATTTTATGATATGCTGCTACTGGTCACACAATCAAAACATGTATTCAATGTGTGAATATGCATGCATGTACATGCTTGTCAATAATAATCAAGTGATTAGTTAGTGAACTTTCTGGGAAAATAAATCCTCTAATATGCATTTTAACTAGTTGCAAATAAAGCCTACTTTCTGGTTGCTCAATGGGGACATTCTCTTATTCTTTATCATATAACCCAATTGAAAGCCTAGGAGAGGGAAAGGGACTACATTCAGAATATCAGAGACAAAGAAGAGAACAAAGCAGCGACCCAAAAAGAGGGTCGCGATCTGCTGCCGATCTGCTGCTGCCCAGCGCTGCTATGCCGTTGGCATTCGGTGGCGCGAGAAAGCAAGAGGGAGAGGGAGAGGGACTACATTCAGAATATCAGAGACAGAAGAGAGAACAGAGCAGCGACCCAAAAGGAGGGTCGCGATCTGCTGCCGCCGAGCACTGCTGTGTCTTTCGCATCCAGCGGCGCGAGAGAGTAAGAGGGAAAAGGAGAGGGAGAAGGAGAAGGAGAAGGAGAGGGAGAGGGAGAGAAGAAGAAGAGAAGAAGAACATACCTGAGAGTGCTGCCGCCGAACACTGCTGTGCCGTTCTGTGCTGTGTGCCGTTTCAAATAGATGAGAAAATGAGAAGAAGTTAAGTCAATTGCTTGTTTATTCACTTGTCAACAATTTTTGGCAATAAAAAATTTGGTAAAAAAAAATACAAATTAATTTGTCTTTAAATTATTTGTCTTTAATAATTGGTAAAAAATAAAAAACTTTGTTTATAGATATAATTGTCTATATAGAAACTATTTGTCTTTAACAATTGTATTATTTGTCTTTAAAAAATACAAATTATTTCTATAAATTATTTGTCTTTATACAAATAATTGTCAAATTAATTATTTCTATATTTTTACAAATTTCTATACAAATTATTTCTATATTTTTATAGACAAAGTAATAGATTGGTCCAAATTAATAAATTAATATTTGTATAGAAATATAGAAATTATTGTAACAATTAATATTTCTATAGAAAACATATTAATATTTGTCTTTATAGAAATAATTAATATTTGTATTGTAACAATTAATATTTGTATAGAAATTATACAAATATTACTATAAATTATTTTTATTGACAAATATTTGTAACAAATTATTTTTATATTTTTGGCAAACTTTGTTTATAGAAATAATTGTCTTTATAGAAATTATTTGTCTTTAATAATTGTATTATTTGTCTTTAAAAAATACAAATTATTTCTATAAATTATTTGTCTGTACCAAATTGTTTATTCACTTGTCAACAATTTTTGGCAATAAAAAATTTGTAAAGACAAATAATTTATTGGCAACCAAATTAATTTGGTTGCCAAAAATATTATTCAGATTTTTAGCGACCAAGGAATGTCTATCGCCAAACAAATACAATTGGTGACTAAATGTTCCGTCGCTATAAATTAATTTGGTCGCGAAAAAGTTTTTCGCGCTCTCGCGCAAGAAATTCACTTGGCGCCAAAATCAATAGCGACCAAAATTATAAATTCGTCGCCAAAAGTTTATTTTTTAGTGACCACAAATATTTTGTTGCCAATTTTGTATCTTTGGCAACTAAATTTTTGTTTGGTTGCTAAAAAGTGTCACCAAAAATGTTTTTTGTTGTAGTGCCTGCCTCCTGATGAATAATTACGGGAGAATATATTTTTTAATTTTGCAATATCATTTATTTTTTGATGTAATTGTTGGTCTTTTTTTGCAATGTCTTTTTTATTTTGTAATGTAATGTAATGGTCCATTTATTTTTGAGTATTTTTATGTTCCAATGTAATTTTGTTTTTGTAATGTATAATATTGACTATTTTTTAGTATAATCTTGTATTGGTATTTTTTTTTGCTGAGGTGAATTATATATATATTTTTTTCAATTCTTCAATTTTTTTTTTCATTTTTAATATTTGTTTAGCTGGAAATAATGTAAATATAATGTTTTTTTAAAAAAAAATAATTAAAAAAAGGTCACAAAAGATAAAAAAAAATTACTAAAAAACTATATCCAAACAACACTTACAAACTCGAAGGAAAAGTTGGTTGAGATTTGCCAAAATAGCATGTGACTATTAGAGCACCATTACTATAATTTGACAATGAATATATTGCCAAATTATAGAAATAGCAATGCTATTTTAGCAAACTCCATTAAAGATGCTCTTATTGAATCAAAATTTCTCTTTTAAGTAATAAAATGTTTTTGTTTCAAGTTCAACTAAACACCGAAAAACAACAACAAAAATATTTTTTATATTTAAAGTCAATTTAACAGAAAAATATTTTTTTTGTTACGTTGAAATAAACGGAGCCAAATTGAATTAGGGCTTTGTGGGCTTCTGCTGCCAAACCCATTGGGTCAATGAAGTTTAGGATCTGTTAGCTTGCAGCACAAGCTCCAGCATTTCTCTTGAACTTATCCCCAAAAAAAGAGTTAAAAGAAAAATTATTGTAGCATGATAGTGCCGAGAGTATTTGGTATTTGAATTTATGACAGGAAATGAAGATCACCATTTCAATGCATAAATTTATAATACATTATCAAACTATAAAATTAACAGTTTATAAAAATGGGCAAATTACATATACACCCCTCGAGGTTTGGCTAAATTACAGATGCCCCCCTGAGGTTTGAGAAATTACGAATTCCCCCCTGAATGCTATATTTGCATAAGAAATTAGGGGGTAATTTGTTATGAAATATAAACCTCAGGGGGCAAATTGTTATGAAAATACAAACCTCAGGGGGCGGGATGTAATTTCCGAAACCTCAGGGGGTATCTGTAATTTACCCAAACCTCGAGGGGTGTATATGTAATTTGCCCAAATTTTTACCTTTTTATGAGTTTTAAACCTTTCTTCTAACCATTTTTGGATTAAACATCCTAAAATATAAGAGTTGTAAGTGTTTGTTTGCTTTAAAGACTGCAATATTCTAAAATGCACTGAAACACGTACTAGTTGCTATGTTCTGACCCTCCACAACTCATACAAACCCGTTTGTTTTCAGAGATAGAATGGAGGAGATTCATAGTAAGGGAGATTGATAGTGAGAGGATTAATAGTGAGGAATTGTTAAATTATTTTTATATAAAATAATAAAACAAATAAAAAAAATATAAAAAATTAAACATTATATTTTTAAAAAAAATTCCCAATATATAAAAAATAAAAAAATTTCTAATCCCCTCACTATTTTTCTAATACCATCTCTACCTCCTCCTTACCAATCCCCCTTCCTCCTCCTTACTAATACCAAGGGATTATTAATCCCCTCCCTATCTCTCAAAACAAACACTCCATTCTCAATCCCCTCCTCACTACCAAACCCAATCCGCTCCCTATAACCCCAAACAGACGGGGCCTTAACACATACTTCACTAATTTTTAAAGGAATGTTGTTATTTTGCCTTGAAAAGAGCATTAATCTTTGAAGATTTTTCATGATTTTTTTTAATGATATCTAACATTATTTGATCTTTTAAATCTGGTATTAATAAGTATCATTCCCCTAGAATTTTGATATGCCACGTAGTACTCTTTTCCACATAGGCTGGACCAAGTGCTTATCTCAGAAGTTAAAAAGCTGCTTGTCCAAACAAAGGATCAAGATTTGGAAACTAGATCTTTGTTTGAGAGTGTAAAGTCAACAATTCAATCACCTTATTATATGGTGAATTGTGCTCTCCTGAGTTTCGGTTGAAATTGAAGATTGTCCTTGACACATTAGATTTGATTAGGCCAAGCTAATTTAATTGAGTTACGTGTTAAATTTCTCTAATTTATCAGAGCTTATATTTCCTCTTAGATAAAGATAATTCGATTAGACGGGAAAAGAAATAGCCAAAATCATAATGAAAATGTTACAATTTTTATAATATACAACTCATTCGATTTGAACCCATGAAAAATTAATGACTTTTATCGTTGAACAAGGAAGAATTTATTTTCTCTTTTCATTGTTCCCCCTTGGGAGAAAATAAAATATTTATTTACCATAATGTACAACCAATATTGTAAGTTGTTGCACAAAGTGTGCACTTTGATGGAATGGAAAAAGTTTCACATTCCTTCACCTCTTTTTGATCATGTTTGGTTAAAAAAACAAAAAGTCTCTTAATAAGGCAAGCTCTTAGAACTAGAACTAATGACCAAGGCCTTGAGCTTAGAAGAACAATCCTCATTGGCATTTGCTCGTCGGGTAATCGTTTCCATATTCTTGCAAAGACTTTGTTTCACCATACTCTTCATCATTCTTTTCCCTTCACTCACCTCCCTCAGGCTAACTGGTGACCCTAAAACATTAATCCTTCTTGTTTGTGGCCCTGAATGAGGCCCCATTTTTGCTTGTCGTTCATCTTTAAACCATTGTAGTAGTTTTAATGCCCTTTTTTGAGCCAAGGTACTACCCAACAAAGCCACTTCAAGGATCACGGGAACAATTCCGGAGTTAGCCATCTTCTCCCTCTGCACGGAGCTCTGGTGAGCCAAAATCATCAAAATGTACGCGGAAAGTTCTTGGGACTTGGGCTTGTCCTCCCATGCCAGAATCTCTATCAAGCTTTCCGGCACCATTGGATTGTTTTCCATAGCCTTCTTTCCCAACAATGTCACCACCAAGTTCCCCAATGTTGCAAGGGCTTTTTCGGAAGTTTCTTTCACCGAGGACAGCCTCAAGAGGGTGTGGACTACCCCATTGGTGGCCAAAGTCCCTGCATTGTCCAACATGGTGGATAGGTTGTATAGTGTGCCCAAACAGACCTCTTTGGTTTCAAGACTTGAATTAGACTCCAGAATCCCAACCAAAAATGGGAGAATTGTTGTTGAGGTGAGAGGGAATTGGCTGTTGGATAGAGATGAAATGGAGAGTAGCAATTGGGCCAATTCATGCCTCGTTGGCCCATCTAAAACATCCGCGTTACCGGGTAATTTCGACAATAATCCTGCCTCTACCATTAGTGCCTTGTTCCTGGAAATAAACAAGAAATATTTATAAATGGAAGCCTAGAAGTGTTTGAATTTTTTGCTAAAAAAATTGACATAATATGATTTTGAAAGCTCAATTGATCAAAAAAAATAAATAAATGAGGACATTTATTTAAGGCCAACCAAAGACCAAAAAAATGTTATTTCATTGCTTTGACTATATGCTAAATTATTAATGAACTAAAAAGGGCCTACATTATATCAATGTAGTTGGTGGGTTCAAAAATTATACACATTGGGTCCCTTAACAACCCCCCAAAGAAATTTAATAAATTATGCAAGAGGAAAATCATCAAGATAGTGAGACTGATATCTTTGTTTGATTGTGTGAGGTCAACAAAGGTAGTTTTCATATCATATGAATATGATTTCTCTCTTACAATAAAGGGCATTGTTTTCATGCCCAACAAAGACTAGCTTAATTAAATCAAATCAATGCAAGTCACTTTAGTCAATTTCAAGCTAACTTCCAATTTAAATATTATATTTTTTATGGCGAATGTTAACAAGTGTCCCTATATATTATTTAATGTTGGGAAGTGTGTAAAAAGTAACTTGAAAATATTAAAAAGTGTCTTGTGTTTTTCAATTTTTTTTTTTTACTTGTGTCCTAGAGTCGTGTTTTTCTAGCATTATTCCACCCCAACTCTTTCTAGTATGCACCATGGAGTTCAGTGCATAGTCAACCAACCCTAAAAGGCTGAAACCTCATTATTCAAATGCAATTTGGTGAATTGGGTTTCATACTTGAAATTAAAATACATTAAGCCAGAGGAAAAGGATCAAGATTTGGAAACTAGATCTTTGTTTGAGAGTGTAAAGTCAACAATGGCTCATGGACCATGATTTCTTTCTTATATTTAATAAAATAACATATTAAGTCTGGAATAAATTAAACCAAGTGGTATATAAGTCAAAGTTTCAAGCCGACTTGAATGTCATATTTCTACAATTAAAAAACCAAAGACTTTCTGCTTCACTAGCATTATTTCACCCCAACTCTTTCTATTATTCACCATGGAGTTTAGTGGATTTTAGCCAACCCTCAAAATTGAAAAATGATCGACTGTCGATAGGTACCATATGAGAATGTCATATAATACTCTCCACCAATCATAAATAAATATTTTTATTTTGTCCCCCAAATATTAAAATAAATATATCCATCTAAAAAATTTATATATTAAAACAAAAATGATAGATTTTACTGTCCAAATTACCAGTCATTATAAATTGTAAAAGAAGGCACAACTATGACAATGCTTCTGATTGACCACTCTACTGTGAAGTAAGGACATTTTGGTATTTTCGCACTTGTATCTTGTTATCCTAATTTCTATGAGTATTTATAATTAAGGGGAGAAGGTTGTCTTTGTATCTTATAATTTTTTTATTATAGTAAAAACTGCGCCAACTATGAACAATTTTGGAGTGAACCACATGTATACTTACCTTTTCATTTCTTATTCTTGTTTTTATTTATGGTTCACGTCTCATTGATCTGTTTAAGTGTATCAATTCCTAACGATCACAAGTATACAATAATGGCTCCTCAAAACCTCATTATTCAAATGGAGTTTAGTGGTAACTTGGGTTTTTCAAACTTGTCATTTTATTGTCTCTATCTTGGTAATTGAACAAGTTCACGGGCATGGCTTGTTTTGTTTTTGTTCTTGTCTTTCAACTTTATATTGTAATGTAGTAATAAGTTGTTAAGGTTTTGTCATTTTGGTTATATGTTAATGCTATAGCTAAAAAGTCAAGTTCATCAAACTACCCTAGTGCTCAAGGCATGTATAGCCTTTTTTTTCTTTCCTTCAAATAAATAAATCATTATGAAATTGGTCACACCATTTTTTTTTTCTATTTCTTTTTCTTTCTTTTCCTCTGTGTTTTCAGAAACAAAAATTATAAATAAAAAATTATTTACTTATTTATTGCTTTTATATTATTTTTACTTTTATAGGAAAATAATTTTCCGAAACTTCATAGAATAATGCAGGGATTATAAAAAAATATTATGCAGATGATCATAAAAGATTCTCTACCTTTGAATTGTACATATAATAAAATATCACACATTAATCAAAGGATGAAAAATCTTCACGATATTTTTTTCATGATCTCTAATATTATTTTTAGATGAGTTAAGATGTGAATATTTTGCAACTACAAATGCAAATATTTTTTTATCTCACATCTGTATATTCTGTATTAGATTATTTCTATACACGCAACACACCTGTTATGGTTAAGGAATAAAATCAGGGGATGCCAACCCATTCCCGGCAAGACCATTTCCAATGTGCATATAATATGGGGTGTTTTAGAAAGTTGGTAAAAAATTGATTTTTTGACTTTTTTAATAAAAAGCTAGATTGTTTTGGATAAAAAAATTGACTTTTTTAACTAAAAAAGCTAAAAAATTAAAAACTGACTTTTTACTGTGTTGCCAAAATGCTCCTATATATTGAGGTCTATATATCCTCAAAAAAGTCAGTAGCATTCGTTGGGGTCCATGTTTGGATTTGATTCCATTTGTATGGTTAGTTAGGCTCCCAACAAAATATTGCCATTCTATAATATAAAATTTTCATATGAAAGTTTGGGTCCATGGAAGAAGTGTTTTTTAATCAGATGTGATATCTGAATTCTAGGTTCATTATTGCATAACCTAACTTTCATTTTTCTTATTCTTTTCTACCAATTAGAAGAAAAGAAAATTTAAATAATACAAAATTATGTGAAAGACGATGCACACATAAATATTTATGTCACCTATTCATTTTTCTAGTGGAAGTAAAATGACCAAAATTACTCTTATAAAATATATGACATTTCCCTTATTTGAAAAAAAAAAAAAAAAAAAATCACTTTGACCTAAGTCATCTACGTGCACAAAACGAACTCTTACTTCTCAAATCTCAATGAAGTGCCCAATCTACGTCACTATCCATTTCAATTTAATATTTTTAAATCAAACACATAATTATCCTTTAAAACCCATCTTTAAAAATAAAAATAAAAATTCTCCTTTGAAAAATCATGACTTTTGACAGTAGGGTGCTCTTAAATATATGAGAAATATTATATAAACTAACAAATTTTATAAAAAAAAATTATTTATTACTGTATTATTCAATGATCAGATATGTGTCTCATTCTGTAAAATATTATATCTTCATACAATCGTGATTAAGACCTCCTCAGATTCCCACCCCCACCATCCTCACACACACGTGAGGTTGGTGAGTGGGAGAAAAAAAAAAAAAAAATTTTTTTTTGAGCAATCAAAAGGCAAAAGGGGTCGTAGGGGTGACTTGCAAAGGGGTCTAAGTCTTTTTTTATTTTCATAATACATTAATAATAAAATTTTAGTTTCTGAAATATGACTCATTTCAATAATTTTGTAAACTTATATCATTAAATAAATAAAGAAATCTTTATAAATTTATTAATTTTTATTGCATTTGCTTCAAATGCATACACTCAATTATGTTTTACAAATATAAAGTGTGGTGAAAAAAAATATAGAGTGATTGTATTAAAATCTAACAAAACCATAACAATCAATGAATCAAATATTAATTTTCAAGCAACACAAAGAGAATCATAGTTATTATTATAACTAATTAACATAATAATAAAAAATATATATTTATATATTAAATAACTTACGTGTAAGTTCCATTAGCAAGCTCAATCAAGGCCTGAACCGCCACCCTCCTCCTCCGCCACCCAGCACCGTCTGCCGCCGCTGCCCCAACCATCGCCACCAACGGCGGCACAACACCGAGCTCCTCCGCCAACGACTTTCTCATTTTCAAGTCCTCTTTAGCCAACCTCCCTATCTCCACCGCCGCCATTTCCTTCTCTTCCCACCTCCCAAAGTGAAGCTTCTTCACAGACCTCTGCAAAACCACCAACCCATCTTCACCCTCATCACTTTCTCTCTCCTCCATGTTTTGATGACTATCAATATCGAAAACTCTTGGCCGATCGGACGGTGGGTATCGCTTGGTATCGGCCTTGAGCTGGAGGAGCCGTCGGATTCGGGCTAAGAATCGGAGTTTTTTGTAGGATAAGAGCCTTGGAGAAGAATCAGACATGTTTGGGGGTTTTGAAGGAGACAGACAGACAGACGGACAAACAGACAGAGAGAGAGAGAGAGAGAGAGAATATACGGATCAAAGGCAGACAAGAGGGAAGAAGACTTTGAGGGTTAAAACAGAGCGAGCAGAGAGCACATGGACACTATGAAAAGTGCCTTGTTTTTTGTATCACTAAACTGTATATAGAGGATGGAGAATCAAAATATACCCAAAATAATAATAATAGTTAAAAAAATACTAATAGGACAATGTCTTTTTTCAGGAAACTTAGAGATTTTTTTTTTTAATATTTAAAAAAATAATTTAGTAATTGATTCACTTTTTAAATTATTTAAGAAACTAACCTGTTTTTTGAAATCACATTTTAAAAATATAATTTTAAATTAAAAATCACATTTTCAATATGTAATTTTAAGTTGCAATCACATGTTCAAAATATAATATATCTTAATGAAGTCTATGTCATCATAAAATTACATTTTTAACATACGATTTCAATTTAAAATTGTATTTTCAAAATGCGATTTCAAAAACCAAGTTAATTTTCTAAATAGTTTGAAAAGTTGGTCAATTCTCTAAATTATTTTTTTTAAAGAATATTTTTTTAAAAAAAAAACTCAAGAAACTTATGGTGTACGTGTTCATACTATTTAATCAATTATTATTTATTATATATTTTATATTTTTTAATTAATTAATATAAAATTATAATATCTCACTTTCTTCATCAATCATAATATCGTGCACACACTCCATATACACCTTATAACTAAAAAAAAAAATGACATAATTTTAATTTTTTGAGTCATAATTAAAAAAAATAAAAAAATGTCATAACTAAACATAACATGAGACATAATTAAAAAACTCATGAATCATAACTAAAATACTGTTATAATTAATTAAAAATAAATAAATAAAATAACATAATTAAGGTGCTTATAATACACTTTTTTTTTAAATAGTGTATATTAAAATTTCTCATTTTTTTATTAGACAGCACCATTTGATTATTATATTTTAATAATAATTTTACTGCATCATAAATTATCAATTCTACTCCTAACATCCACCGTCACTACGTCTAGCCGTTGCTCTCATTCCTTTCCTAGCTCCAACTGCTAACCCTATCCCTTCCTTATCTTTCTTTGGCCACCACCTTCTTCCTTCTTCAGCTCATTCCTCTACTCAGGACTTTCATTCTTGATGAATAACAATCAAATTTATGGAGGTGGTGGTGGTGGTGGTGGTGGTGGTGTATGGTGGCTGAGGTATAAATAGAGTTAGGATTTGAGAGGATTGAGATTAATTGGGCATTAAGTGATATATTTAAAGAAATTTTACAAAATTTGAGATTAATTAGCGAAAATCAAAATAAGGCAGGGTTTGAAGATAAAATGTGTGCTAATAGCAACACCCAAACTATTTTATTATATTTTTTTTTTTTTGAAGAATAATTGGAATCCCATTACGCCCACATCTATACTGATATTGCTAAAATGCCATTTAACTTTTTTTTTTTCCTTTTTTTATCAAGATTATAAGATGTTAGTTTATTAGTAAAATTATATTATAACTAAAAAGGTCAGCGTTGTTCCATCAGCTCGAACCACCCTAAGATGTGGCTATAAACAAGGGTAAATATCGGCCCGTTGACCTATCCAACCCTATTTTTTAAGAGATTGGAAAGGTTATTTTAGCCCATAAGGCTGAACTGGGCTAATATTTTTAACCTCGAAATATTAATGGATTTGGCTTAAAATTTATGCTTTCAACCCAACCTGGCCAGCTAATTAATTAATTAATTATTTATTTATTTATAATATATTAAAATATATATAATTTGGAATATTTTATCTTTGTTAATTTTATTGAAACTCACATTTGTGGTAATGTGTAATTGATTTTATTTAAGAAATTTTTTAATTTATACACAAAATCTTTCAATTTTTAATGATATCAATATATTTATTTAAGAATTATAATATGCAATTTAATTTAATTATGGAATGTTTTAATTTTTTTTAACATATAGACTGATGGATGGATTTGAGATTTATAATTATTTTTTGAATTAATTGGACTTAGACAGATATAGAGGTCCGATGTTATAGCCAAGCCGAACTTGATTTGGACAGATACAAAGTCCTTTCTTATGTAGTGTCGGCTCGGCCCGACATTTGTCCACCCTTATCTATAAGACAATTGGGCTAAACCGAAAGTCTGCCATTCAAGTCTGGTATGTCAAATTTAGGCTATGAAATAAGAATTTATTAGATTAGATTACACTCTTCCATCCAAAATTTCCTGAATGAAGTGACGTGATAGAATGTATGTAAAGAGAGTTTTGAGAAAATATTGAAATGAGTCAACTTTTCAAATTTTAGTTGCCACGTCATTCAAGAGAGTTTGAAAAGAAAAAATTGTGTGAATGAATCATTTTTCATAACCACCTGGGGTGGTGGCCTGATGGAGAAAGCAACTCAACTCCACAGGCTTGACTCAGGGTCGAATCCTGGAAGGAGGTGGAAGTGCTCTCTTTGAGACCCTCCCTCTGCACTCTAGTTCGAACTCTCAGCGGTCTATGGCCTATAGTTGAGCTCCATTGGTGTCTCGATAGTAGGTCCCTTCCTTTGGGTTGAGTCAAGCCAGGCTGCCAATCGGTTACCCTAGGGCCTGGGCTTACGGAGGCAGTGATGACACCTCAGAGCCTCATTTTTCTGTGATTAAAAAAAAAATTTATTTTTCATACAAATGTGGGTAGAGTTATATTTCAGATTTTAAAAATGACACTTATAGTATTATGGCTTTAAATGTTGGCAGATTTGATAATTTTTTTTATGTATTAATGAGCCAAATTTATGGCATGTGGGAATCAGGATATATCATCAAGGCTTCTAAGATTGCGTTTACTACAAAGGCTAATTAGTGTGATAATAATAATAATAATAATAATAATAACAAAGGACCAAATAGATTTTTTTTATTTTTAAGTTTGCCTTTATTAATGGTGTGTTGAATTTATTGGAAAAAAATTAAAAAAAAAAGGAAAATTTCGATGGTACCATATGCATCAATTAATATAGTAACTAGTGTACTAACATTAGTTATGATATTATTATTGACCTCACTTATTATATAAATTATAAATACCAAAAACTTCTAAAATTATGCCACATCATCAATTAGTATAATTGATGCATATAACATTATTTGAAAATTTTACTTATAAATCTCATTTCAAGAAATGGTGATCCATTTAATTTCAAGGAGTTTCTTATATACCAAATAGTCCCATTGATTTTGGAAAAGTATATTTAATATATTATTTAAAAATTAGATTTACGATTATACCTTTATTTCTATTATGTTTCCTTCTGTGTTTTTCTTTTGTGCTAGAAAGGTAAGATACACAACTCTGCCGGGATTGTTAACAACTGCGCCGGTCCCAAACCCGGGTTAAGGAGAAGGGTTGTGTGTTAGGTAGCCAACAGCCAACACGTAAAAAAGCCGCTCGAATTCCTTATGAAAATGAATCCTACTTTGAATCGTTTAAATGCTAGGTCGTTCCCCTCAAGTAACGCGTTGCGCCTACCTCTGGGTGTTTCGAAAAGTGAGTAAGGAGCGCCGCATCGACGCCTGGGTACGGTGAAAAATGGGCAAATGTTTCCGCGCTTTTCTGGACTCGCGCGGGTAAAGAAGCTAGTCCAAGACTATAGGTTTAGGGTAGCCACTTGGAACATAGGAACCTTAATTGGTAAGACAATGGAATTGGTAGATCTTATGATTAGGAGGAGAGTTAGTATAGCTTGCATACAAGAAACTAAGTGGACGGGAGAGAAAAAGGGAAATTGAGGATACCGGTTTTAAACTATATTATAATGGTAAGGATAGACGCAGGAATGGAGTAGGAATCATAATTGCAAGGGTCTTATGGAAAGTGTAGTGGCGGTCACTAGGAAAGGAGATAGAATTATGCTAGTTAAACTAGTTATTGGAGGGAATATAGTGAACATTATTAGCACATACGCCCCTCAAGTAGGGTTAGATGATCAGACTAAGAGGAATTTTTGGGAGCAAATGGATGAGATCTTACAGGAGATACTCGTAGGAGAGAACCTGGTTATAGATGGAGATTTTAATGGCCATGTGGGCATAGATAAACTAGGTTATGAAAAGGTGCATGGTAAATACGGTTTTGGTGACAGAAATGAGGCTAGAGAGAGTATTTTAGATTTTGCGTTGGCTTCTGACCTGGTGGTGGCCAATACTATGAATAAGAAGAGGGAGAAGAATTTGATAACCTTTAAGAGCGGATTAGTTAAGAGTCAAATAGATTACTTCTTAATGAGAAAAGTGGAAAATGCAATGATTATAAGGTGATTCCTGGAGAGAGTCTGGTCTCTCAACATAAGATTTTGGTACTAGATTTATGTTTTAGAGGGCAATACCAAGCTAAGAAGGATGGTGGGCGTCGTAGGACGGGATGGTGAGACCTAAAATGGGATAAACTATAAATATTTTAAGAATCAAATGGATAAGGAAAGTACTTGGGACTTAGAAGGTGATGCTAACACTATGTGGAACTCGATGGCCAATTGTATGAGGAGAATCTCAAGGAAAGTGCTTAGAGAGTCGAAAGGAACGGGACCAAACTCTAGGGAAACTTGGTGGTGGAGGGAAGAGGTTCAAGCGGTAGTTAAGGCAAAAAAAGAATGCTTTAAAAAGTGACAGAATGATAGAACTGAGGAAAACCTTAAGAGTTATAGATTGGCTAATAAGGAGGTCAAGAAAGTAGTGAGAGAGACCAAGTTGAAAGTATATGATCACCTATACACTAGACTAGATAGTAAGGAGAGAGAGAGAGAGAGAGAGAGAGGAGGGTATACAAACTTGCTAAGATACGAGAGAGGAAAACAAGATATTTTAATCAAGTAAAGTGCATCAAGAGTGAGGATTCTAAGGTATTGGTGAAGGATGATGAGATTAAGGAAAGATGGAATAATTATTTTGAGAAACTATTAAAGGCGGAACATGGAGGTACGACAATAAAGGAAGAAATAGCCAGTAATACGATAAACCAAGACTATAGGTTCTATCGCAGGATTAGGAACTTTGAAGTAAAAATTGCACTTAAGAAGATAAAATCAAATAAGGCTTTA